TTTTGAAAAGCTTTTTTTTTTAATCGTCGTTGTTTGTCAAATAATTCCATTCAGTATTTGAAAAAACAATCAATACTGTAGTCAATATGATATATGTAATCTAAATGTATGTATAAAAAATGTTTGATTAAGATAATCATAATATTTCACTTTAAAGCCACCCCCCTCTCAAAATCAGATCTCGGCTTCCATGCCACGAAATTGCATGAAATTTTCAGGATATCTTGGTCATGATATAGGGATGCTATGCTAAAATTCCAATATCATGACTATTTTCCAAGATATTCAAAAACTACGGGCAAAAAATAGCTTTTTTTCGAAACAAGAGTTTTCGTAGAGGCTTCATCATAGACAATTATTATGTTTTTTGTTCGATAGAGAACATCCACCTCTAGGGTGTTACAGAGTCCTTTTTTAAATTTTTGGTTTTCTTGCGGGGGAGAGAGGGCTTAGAAGTTCAATACCTCCCAAAAACCCACAGAAAACGCTAGCAGTTTTCCAGAGATCCTTTTTTAATAAAGAAAGAGAAGCCTAATTTGAAAAAAGGCTCTGTAACGCCCTAGAGCTGGATATGCTCTTTCAATCAAAAAACAAAATTCTCCACAAGGAAGCGTTGTCGAGAACTCTTCTTTCGACTATTTGTAAAAGAGTGCTAAAACATAATTATTGTCGATTAAAAAAAGAATGGGCTGGACCATTTTTGGAATAACTTTTGCTAGAAAGTAGCTAGAGAGCTTCGATTTTCACCATTTGAAAGAGGAGGCTCGGGGATATTTCCATAAGCAAAACTTTTTCAGAAGAGTTTTTTAAAACAGATTTTCGAGGAGGTCTTTGAAAAACAGGGCCGTATGTAACAGCTTTCCAATCGGATTGCATTGATTCTTTTTTACGAACTGATAGCCTAGGGTGTTCTCTTCAAGATAGGAGTCGAGCGAGATCTTGATTTTTCGCGGTTCGAGCCTTGCATCGGATTTCCTACGAGTCTTAGGACTGACACCCGGTGACTTTTGGTAGGCTTGAAAATGGATGGACTATAGGTAATCGACCATGCTGAGTCTCGTGGTAATATTTGTTTTAGAAAACGTTTTAAAAAGCTGCTGTAAAGCGAGTTTTACGAAAAGTAGGGTTTTCAGCAAGGGGGAAAAAGCGCACTCCGCCACTTCGTGGAGTGCCGGAGTGGCTCGGAGTGCCGTGAACTTAAGGAAAACTTAAGGAGTTTTACTTACCTCAGAGCTAAATCAAAGGCTTCTGGATTAACAAAGTGGTCTTCCTCTATTCTGTTATTCAACAGATGTGTGTCATGAGAAAATTTTCAATTTTTACAGTATGAAGAGCTGTGCTGGAGAGTGTGAAATTTGTAAAATTCTTTGTTGAAATGGAACATCTTTGTTCAATGAGTGAAGTTTTCTGAAGATTTTTGACAAATAATGATAAATCGAAGGAGAAGAAATTAAAGCGGAAAAGGACAAGAAGGAAAAGGAAAGATTTACCTAACTTTTTGAAAATTGTTGTTTTTGTGTACTAAGAGAAGTATGGTAGATGAAATAAAGCGTAAAGGATGAAAAAATAGTAGAAATGATACGGACGTTGTTTGAATAAACGCTTGATTAAATAATAAAATGTTTTTGGTTGTGTTTTGTTTTGTTTTAATATAAAAATATATGCTTTAAAAAATTGCCAACGAATGTTGAATATATAAAAAAATGGAGTTACGAGAAGTTATACGCGTTTCGGATTTCTTCTTCAATAAATGCTCGTTGGAAAGAATGATGGTTGATAGTCGGAAAATTCAACATTCGTCGAAGGTCGTTTTCGTTTCAGTGAGCTAGAACAACATTTGGGTAGAACGAATACATCAAGTGGTTTTGCATCTGAAGATTGCACTGGGATAGTCAGAAAAACACAATATGATACCAATACTAATTCATTCATCGGATTCTGTACTCCACTTAAAAATGGCATTCCATCCGAACAACATTTTAAAACTGATTCATTTGATCAATTGAAAGAGTGGTCCTCTAATATTGAGAAAGCTCCACTCTTAAATATTCACATGTTTCAACCGTTAGCTCAGTCAATGAAAAATTGTTCGCCAGTTATATTAGCGGCATACGGAACTGACAGCAAATTTACAGCAATTGATATTTTTCGACGTTGGATACACATCTATGAACAATGCTCAGCCAAACAAATTCGTATCATTGGTTTCTCAACAGGTACTATGCTCCTTGTATACTGAACACTACGGAATCGGGGTTGAGAAGAGAATTTTTTTCTAAAATCAGAAGCGCCCTTTTTTTTGGATTAGGGTCAAAAAGTTTAATCCCACAGGACTCTAAACTACTGTTCTTCTGCTTTCTTTATAAACAGATTGCGACAGCAAATATTTACGAGCAATGAAATTGGTTAGCGGATTTTTTGCTGATTTATCAAGTTTAAAACTACATGAACAACCTGGAGCATTTGAGGTTGCTGTTCCAGCAACATGGACATGGTTTTACCTTCGGAAACAACAATTGTTATTGTTCTTCCAAGATCCTGCACATCTTGCTACCAAATTACGTGTATTAAGATCAAAAACGAAAACTTTCCCTGGTATCCGATTACTGGAAACAATCAATCCGACATTGGGTGATTCCTACTTCGATATAAAAATTAATGACGAACATAAATTTCTTCATAAACAAACAGCGTGTTGGTTGTTAACTGATAAAAATACTCGTTTATCATCAGATAGATTAACGCGAGTCGAAATGAGTAAACGGGATTAAAAATGAAAAGTTTTTTGTACACTTTTTTATGAAATATACGATATCCTCCATAGTTGTTTTTTCAGTTAAGCCTTTATTGGTTTTCCAGGCAACCAACAACCTCCAAAACCCGGAAAAGCCTTCCGGATTTTCTAAAAATCCTCAATTTGACAAAAAACTAAGACCTAATTCAAAAATCGGCGCCAGTCAGTCCATGTAGTTTCTTTAAATAAAAAAAGAATAAACTAGAGAAAACGCTGTATGACATACTCAACTTTAGGACTTCTAGAAAAATGCCTGTAACGTTTTAATGCAAGGTCATACCGACTTGTGCGAGGTCTTATTTTGACCAGAGAAGTCTGCTCTACAAATCTGTATCTTCAGAAAAATTTTATTTGTGTAAGTATTCAGGAAAAACTAAAAGTATTATTCGAAGACCCAGTTTTTCAAGGCTCTTAGAAAACTTGCCCCAAATCCCCCCAAAACCACTTTTATAACCAAAAGCGATATACATTCTGGAAGTAGACACTTCAGACTATCTTTTCATGTGAGTATCTCAAAACCAATTTTTTGACCGAAAATCACTATTTCAAAGGGGGGAGGGGGGGGGGCATTTAAATCGAACGAACATCTTCATTGAGAAAAATATCACTACTTTATTCGAAAAAAAAAGCACACTCCGCCACTCCGGACCATTATACGGAGTGCCGAAGTGCTGTAAAGTGTGCTTCACTCCGCGGAGCGGCTGGAGTGACGGTGTGCGCTTTTTCCCCCTTGATCTAAACACGAATCACTAGACGTCATTAACGGCATAACCCAAACTTTTCTCAAAATTCCTATGACAATACTAATACTTTTTGGCAAAATAATTGTCGAAACTCTGAATATTTTCGGAGTTTCGACAGCAGTCGAAGGTCCAAAAAAGTTACTGCAAAAAGCAGAAATTCCGTTTGCAGAAATGTCGAGATTCCGAAGCAGAAATTCTAAAAGCAGATCGAGGAGTAAATCAGTTTTACAAACCGGTCAGGTCGGAATTTCTTGATTATACGGTTTGGTGAGTGTTTTTCTTTAACTTGTTTGTATTTTCTTTCGCAGATGATGTACAAAACCTGCTGGTTTGTCATAAAGACTGTCACTATCTTGAACAATATTTAGAGTTAGCAAAAACCAAAGCCAATGAATCGTGATAGAAAGCATTTTATAGCAGTAATGAGCGTGATATGCTTGGTGATACCACTTTACATGTTGCGTTATCATTCAAATATTGATAGTAAGACTCATAGAAAAAATAACATTGAACCGAGCGTGTTGCTTATATATGTTTACGCTGAAAGTCTCCTACGTACGATCGGCAACTTACAGTATTTTATCGATACTGCCTATGGGGAAATTTTATTAAGTACCGCGATGTGTACACACATGAATATCGTGAAATGAACTGTAGTCGCACGTGAACGTCGGAAAATGGTTGTGGGCATGCGTGAAAAATATATTCCACTTGTGACAACGCGTGAGCCCTTCACGAAAACTTTTCGTGTCATATTTTTCGCACGTGGTCGCAGGTGAAAGTCGTGAAGTGTGTAGTGACCACACGTGAATTTCTCACGTTAAAATTTCGGTAGAAAAATATCACTTGCGTACACGCGTGAAAACGTTTCGCGCTAATGTGATTGTTTCAAATATCTTCACATTTAGTTTTTCACGCAATCCATTTCGTGAATAATATTCACGCTTAACCGCAAGCGACAAAATTCTTACGTTTCACGCGCGTCCACGTGCGAAAACTTTTACACGTGTGAAATGTCGTGAAGGTTGAGCGGCAAGTATAAATACAGATTCTAATGAACACATGCGTGAAAGAAATTAGGTGAGGTAACATCGGTGAGGATGTGATACATACGCTGATTTGTCCCGTTACTTCTGATTGTCTGCCACAATTTTGTCAGGAGAATATTGACAAAATATGTGATTGGTGTAATTCAAACCTCATGGCGCTTAATCCTACCAAGTGTGCATGGATGTTT